AACCCTGGGACTGCACTTTCAAATATCATCTCAGGTACAATCATTTGAACTTGCACTTCCAGGAAGCGCTGAGCGCCCAAGTTCGTGCTTGGCTGGGAGACCGGCTTGGGAACAACAGCTGCGTTAGGGTCGTTGCTGGCTGCGAGGTGTGTGGCCAGGAGATGTAAGTACATCGATGGATTTCTTGAATCTATCTGTGCGGAGCTTTGAGTGTCACCCCCTGTGTTGCGTGGAGGACTTTTTCGGGCTCTCTGGTTTCCTCGCGCAAGAAGCCAAACTCCCAGCGATGGAAATTGCTTCGAAATGTAGCAGCACCCTGCTGAAAAAGAGTGTTGACACTCTGTAAGGTTTCCCATGGTAAAACACATTATTATTGGAATTATTATTAAAATTTAATAGTCATACCTGTCAACCCATACGGTTGAGTTTTCAGGTCCATACGGCGTATAGCCGTTTGAATGTGGGCCAAAAAAGTATTTTTGTCTGTTTGTGTTTCTCCCTTGTGATGGGACTGCAGGATGAACGTTGAGATTTCTCAGGGCACGGGGTGACCAATAAGGTCTCAGTTGGTCTGTAATAAAGTAGACACTGATAACTGTGTTTACAGGTGTGTTAATATCAATAGATGTACTCTCTATTTGCACACACACATGTTGTGATTATTATAATAATTAGTATTACAGGTATGAATAGTGCACGTAGCACGTTAAGGCGATATCGCTGTTATGCGTTCAATTGGAAATCCTTTTTAGTTATGGGTCCATCAATGTTTGCATGGCTGAAGGCCTCCTCACGCTGGTGTGATAAGGATTGTTTGACCATACTTCACCACGCTGGTCAGTGCGGGTTGGTTAAAGGCTTGCTTCAAGGCCCGCTGGCACGAACGTCTTGGGCACTATAAAATGTTATGTATTTTCCTGAAATACAAAAAAAAGCCAGAATAAACAACGTAAAAGTATACCAACTGCCCGCTGTCAATAATTTACTTTCATTTTGTAATTTCAAATCGATTGCATTTTCACCTATTCCGCGGAGTCAATTTCAATAATTGCACACATGGAGACGGGCTGGTGGGGTTATGATGAAAGGGTGAAGCTCTCGCCAGGTTTATTTGATTTCGTGAAGTTTATTTTGATTTGCTGCATGGGACGATGGATCCGCGTTTCGCGAGTTCCCCGCCTATTTTTGCACGGGGGATCCATGGTGCTGCGCCAGATTGACAAGGTCACTAAATTAGCAAGGTCACTAACTTGGGAGACTCGGTGAGGCTTTCGTGGGTAAACACCAATAGCGCAAGCATTGGTCGACGAAAGGAAAAGAGCTGACAAATGTATCCTTCATATGTCCGTCTCTGTTTCATATATTTTAAAGGATATACATACAGCCGATCATAGATTCAATTCTCCATCCGGGCTGCTTCCAACATGACCCGATTGGTCCCGGGTCGATCCAGAAAAACCGCTCCAAAGGATGTAACCAGTCCGGCCATTGTGAAACTCGTGCTTGTGTTGAAACAAAGAGCGGGTTGCTTCGTGCCAGGGTTACTACACCATCCCGTGGTGTCTTCCAGATTGGGGAGTGGTACGGACGGTAGAGCAAATGCGGTCACTTTTAACCGGAGGTTATTGATTTTGTCTTATTTGTATGTTTATTTACACCACTTTCATGAATTAAACATACTTTTAAAAAATGTGCAAAATGTCTTGCAAAAGTCGCTTGTTTTAAACGGTGACGTTGTGGCGACTTTGCCGCGTTTTTGAAAACCCGGCGCATCGTTCCCTTCCGAAGCCGCCGGATAATCTATTATCTACTACACAGCATATTATCGATTTCTCATGTACTCGATTCTCCACTGTATTGTATATAATCGGGTCTCAGATGTACTGTATATAATCGATTATCTACTGTAAATGTATTTTTGTTCCGTTTAAAATCCTAGCTAGCCGGCAAATGTGCCCTCAACACTCACACTCGATCCTGTCCACCCTCACACACACACACTTTGACACAACAACAACAACAACCGCCATTCGCCACTAAGTGGCGGTGACGTCACCACGATGCTTGTGCCAGGCTATGTGCACCCTGAGGCCACGTGAAGTGTCGAACGCCCGCTGGCAGGAGGTCACGGGGCAGACCCAGGTGCCACGGGTCGACTGACTGAGATGACTGGCTGGTGCACCACCTGTGCCCCCTACTGTGCCAACCTGCTGTGCTTTAGCCACCCGGCGCTCCGCTCGTTGTTGTGAGCGTCGCTCCTCCGCCCTCCGTCGTTGTTGGAGGGCGACTGCCTTCAACTGCCCAATAGCGTCCTTCACGAGCCTCCTCCACAGAGGCCGATCTTGACACCGCTGGTACCGGTCATCGGCAAGTCCACTCAGCTCCACGTCCTCCTGTACCACATCACTCCATCTCTTCTTTAGCCCGTGCCGCGCCCGTTTAGCCCCCTCGATCCGGCCGAACAAAAGCTGTTTCGGCATGCGGTGGCTGGGCATGCGGGCTACATGACCCAGCCAACGCAGCCTTGCCTGCCGGAGGAGCTCACCGATTGGACCTTGTCCAGATCTTTCAAGGATTTGTGAGCTCCTCACATAATCCAGCCTGGTTAAACCCAGGATGGATCGTAGGCAGGCCAGCCTAAATGTTTCCAACCGGCGAAATGCTCCATTAAGGGGGTCCACGTTTCACAAGCGTAGAGAAGGGAGGGAATGACCGTGGCCGAGAAGACATGAAGCTTAGTGCGGAGCGACAGACCAGGTAGCTTCCACACAGCATTACGCAACCGATGAAAAGATATTGCCGCTCGACTGATTCGGAGTGAGACCTCTGCTGTCAAACTAGAGCCGGTCATAAGCACACTGTCCAGGTATGGGAAACTCTCCACTGTCTCCACAACTGCCCCATCACCGATTGGGAGTTGTAGGGGTGGAGTGTCCGATGGTACAAAATTCCCAGGCAGGTGCTTAGTTTTGGTGGGGCTGATGGTAAGGCCCCATCTCGTAGTGGCACGCTGCAGTCTCAGCAGCAGCGTCTCCAACTCCTCCTCTGAATGAGTAGCTATTACCAAATCATCGGCATACATAACGTAGTTGAGCAATAGGGAGCCATCCCTTGACCGCACCCGGGCATCGATCAGCCTCCCATTATATCTGTACCAAATGGAGATTCCCCCTGTACAGCTATTGAAGGCTTCACAAACTACGTGATCAAAAATAGATGTTAAATAATGTGGGAGCCAGAGGACATCCCTGTCGCACCCCAAGGTGTACAGGGAATGGCTCTGACTCCCGGCCACGTAGTTTTACCCGGGCCCGCTCACCATCATGAAGGTCTTTAATGATCGTGAGCAGAGGGTCAGGGACTCCAAAAGCACGAAGAACAACCCAGAGCCCAGGCCTACTGATGGTATCATATGCCTTGACCAGGTCAATAAAGTAGAGATGTAGGTCTTGTTGGAATTCCCTACACCTCTGCTGTAGCAGATGGACAGAAAATATGGCATCTGTGCAGGACCGCCCTTTCCTGAAACCGCATTGGGGCTCCGCAAGCCTCTCCTCAGCGTGCCTGGCGACGCGATGTTGAATAATCCTTGCCAGGACCTTTCCCGGCACACTGAGGAGTGAGATGCCCCTGTAGTTGTTACAGTCTGTGCGGTCCCCCTTCTTAAAGAGAGGGACCACCAGGGCATCCTTCCAATCCTGCGGAACCCGTCCAGTGGACTAGACTGTTGTTATGATGTCATATAGAGCAGTCTGTGCACAAACGCCACCCTCGCTCAGCATTTCGCTTGGGAGATCATCTCTGCCCGCTGCCTTTCCTGGTCTCAGACTCCGGATCGCCTTCAGTACTTCCTCAACAGATGGCACCTCAGCCAGCCACTCACAGGGGGTGACTTCTTCCAATATTTGAGGAACTGCAGCCTCAGCAGGGTAATCCTCACTTTGTGCCACGATGTTTTCCTGGCTGAGGGATTTTCCCTCCCCCAGGACCTCACAGAAATGCTCAGCAAATCTGCAAACCTGTTCCTGGGGGTCGGAGATGGGATCACCGTTTTTTCCCCTAATGATGGTAATAGGTGTGGCGCTGCAGGTAACTTTTTTGATGGAGTTAAATAGAGATTTGTGATCGCGGGCCACTGAGGCAGACTCCATCTCCTCAGCAACCCGCGACCACCACCCATCCTTGCAGCGCCTCACGGCTCTCTGAACCTCCGAGCGAAGGCTGCGGTAAGCCTCCTCATTCTTTGACGTGGGATTCTGTAGCCAATGACAGTGGGCCTGTCGCTTTTACTCAACCATCCTGAACACCTCCTCTGTCAGCCAGGGTCTCTGTGTAGGTCTGGACCGCGTACCCAAAGCAGCCATTGAAGCTGCATGAGTCACAGTCCTAAACCTCGCCCATTTACCCTCGACATCAGGAGGAGTCGGGGACGATGCCAATCCGAGCCGCAAGCGATGATGAAATTCTCACTTGCAACTTTCATCAGATAACTGAGACCCAGGCCACTTTAGGTTGGAATGGGGTCCTGGGTGTACACCCACCACCGGAGTGGAAGAATGGCAGGTGCATCTTCCAGATGACTAGTCGATGGTCAAAGGGCACATCAGCTCCACGGTAGGTCCTGGTGTCAAGGACATGGGCTCGCATCTGCTGGTCCGTCACTATGTAGTCCAGCAGATGTTCTTTCTTGTACCCGGCATGCATCCATGATGTTGTGTGGATGCGCCGATGCCGGAACAGCGTGTTGGTAATTACAAGCCCACGGGCTGCACAAAAATCTAGCAGCCTTCTACCGTTGTTATTGAGCTTATCTGGCCCATGCCCTCCAATCACTCCAGACCAGGTGCCAGCATCATGACCAACTCGGGCATTGAAGTCACCCAACATGATGACTCCATCCCGAGGTGTCACTTTGGCCAGCACCTGTGACACACTAACACACACTAACACACACGCACTAACACACACACACTAACACACACGCACTAACACACACTAACACACACACGCACACACTACACTTTCTCTCTGCGGAAACGTCGTGCGGGGAAATTTATTCTGAGAAGAAGTCCCGGGGACGGCAGCGGGGCCGTCACGGACCGGCAAATTCATCACAATGCCGGTAAGTGCGCGAGTGTGCGTGTGTGTATGTATGTGTGTGCGTGTACGTGTGTGCGTGTACATGTGTGTGTGCGTGTGTGCACGTGTACGTGTGTGCGTGCACGTGCGTGTGTGCGTGTACATGTGTGTGTATGCGTGTGTGTATGTATGTGTGCGCGTGTACGTGTGTGCGTGTATATGCGTGTGTGCGTGTACATGCGTGTGTGTACATGTGCGCGTGTGTGATGGGGAGCGGTGGTGTAGCAGTTAGCGCTACGCTGCGCTACGAACCTGGCGACCCGGGCTCGATTCCCGCTCACGGCCAACACCGGTGACGATTATCTGAACCGGTCCAGGGTCCTCCGCTAGGTCGACTCAGCCTCAAATGAGTACCTGGTGGGGTGTTTAAACATCGCCACTAGGGAGACAAAGGCGGCCGGGCGTGGTGCTGGCCACCGACCCCCTCGTGTGCCGTGCCGGCCTTCATAGGTGCTCGCTAACAGCACTTGCCCCTACAGTCTGTTAAGATTATACGGGGGATCTATTTATTTGTGTGCGTGTGTGTGTGCACGTGTGTGTGTGCACGTGTGTGTGCGTGTGTGCACGTGTGTGTGTGTGCACGTGTGTGCACGTGTGTGTGCGTGTGTACGTGTGTGTATGTGTATGCGTGTGTGTGCACGTGTGTGTGTGCACGTGTGTGTGCGCGCGTGTGTGTGCACGTGTGTATGTGTAGGTGTGTATGCACGTGTGTATGTGTGTGTGCACGTGTGTGTACGTATGTGTATGCGTGTAGGTGTGTGTGTGTGTACACGTGTGTGTGTGCGCGTGTGTGCACGTGTGTGTACGCGTGTGTGTGTGTATGCGTGTAGGTGTGTGCGCGTGTGTGCTCGCTAACAGCACAAACCGCTGTTCGGCTATCTCGGGGCATCTTTGTCGTGAGAAAATTTGAACGAAGTTCATTGACACAAGACACGCGTGCGTCTTACTCTCCGCTGCGTCTTATTGTCCCGAGCGTCTTATTGTCCTGAGAATGGCCGTAGTAGTTAACACGTTGCACGTGGGGGGGGGGGGGGGGTCAGAGTATTCTGATTAAACCGACAAAATAAAGGGGGAAACACACACACATATATTTAAATAATTACACGTATAATTATTTATTGTTGGGTTTTCCTCCCCCGTATATATAAAGAGCAGGCGGCGTTATCGGCAAACAGCAGCACCTGTAGCGATGGCTGTGACCATCAAGATTGCACAAGAGATGATGATGATGATTCACTGCTGCTCAGCGGCATGAGTGTAATGTATGAAACGCGTGGACTGGGGCTTGTCAGTAACCCTACCGCCGTAGCCTAAAATTCCTCCATCCTGATCGGGACAAGTCTGCCGAACACCTGAGTTGGAATCCCACATGCCAGCTGTGCGTTGACGTCGTCCACTCTGTCCGCAAACGCGTCTCGCGAGGTAGGTGGAACTGAAATGAACGTGCATTGTCTGTGCGTTTCCAATGAACGCGCCTTCGCATGCACGCACGTGCCGGTGTTATGTTATTCAGCGCAGTTGTACGAGGGCCGTGTTCATGGTCCAAGCCCGTAAGGTGGAGATCTCAGTCGTGTCTATGCGCACACCGCGTCAACCCACACGGTTCACTGGGTGTTGTTGAGCAGGGAAATTTGAGTTTTCAGGTCCATACGGCGTGCAGCCGTTTAAATACGGCCGCATATTTTTTGGTGTCTATTTGCGTGTCTCCCTTGTGATGGGACTTTGTAAGATGAACGTCGAGATGCATAGAGGCTCGGGGTCACAAACACGGTCTGAATTGGTGTGTCATGGACAATGCTGCTCTTCAGGAGCTGCTGGAGGTTTATTTTTTGCACAAAGTCAGAGTGCGATTTTTTACCGCAACACGTTGCTTCAAGTGCCGCGCCTGGAGATGGAATCGAACCTGCGTTCTCTGGGTTGCAGGTCCATCGTGCGGACCATGACACCACTATGGCAGCTCCTCCAGTTGCTCAGAGTAACATGTTATGTTTTTCGCGAGATATTTCTGTATGTGCATCAAACCGGTAACCGTTATTTTCTTCCAATACGGTTACCGGTAATACGAAGATACGATTTAAACTGCCCCTGTGTGTTATGTGTGCAGTATTGTGGGTAGTCGTGGTGGAAGTGACTGATCGCTGCAAGGCGTTATTACCCCCCGAGAACCGAGTTCAATTCCTGACCCATAACTCACTACGCATCACCATCCAGTGCTGAAGGTCTCCCCCAAGCCTCTGTGATGTACCCATTCACCGCTAGCATCTGCCTGCGTACCAGCCGATGCCATCGCTCCATCTCCTCTCGGAACGCGTCCCAGGAGGATGTCCACTGATTGGCGGCGTTGTGGACCTCGCCGCCTCGGTCAACGTGAGCCCCAATTCACGCGATCCGCCTGCAACTCCTGCGGGTGGCAGCGGTGCTCATTCAGGGGCTCGAGGTCTGCTGCTGGCCACGAGGAGAGGGCCTCAGGAGAGGGAGAGAGTTCGCGTTGTGCCGCTCTTCCTCATCGGCTGAATGAGAGCAGACCGCAGTGCTTTACTGAATGGTCCATAGCTCGGGTGGCATGGTAGCGGTCGCATAGTGGCTTGCTATCTCCGTGGGTCACTCCGTGAGTCTCTCTGTGAGTCTCTCTGTATGTGTCTATATCGAGTCACCGTATGGTCCATAGTTGTGGGTTGCATGGCCACGGTCGCACTGGTGTGGCTCGTCGAATGTTTCTTGATGTCTCTCCGTGGCTCTCGATGCGTCTCTGTGTCCCTACGGGTTTACTGCACGGTCCATAGTTTGGGTTGCATGCCCACAATCGCGCTCCTGTGACTCGGATCTTGAATTGTCCATTCGTGAAGGGGATGTGGTGCAGTATCGTCTTCCCGCTGATGTTCCGATGCGGTTGATGTTCCCACCGGTGTCTTTGAGGTGGAATGTCAAAGCCAGGCGGTGTGCAATATTTGAGTCTCGAATGTTTGGCCAGAGGTTATTAAGTTTTCTCTTACGTTATTAAAATGTGAAACCAGTGCATTGATGGAATCCATTTGAGCCATAATAGGTGCTCGCCAACAGCCATAATAGCGCTAGGCGCGTTATCTGGACTAATGCGAAGGGTATCGCTGCACCATGCTTACGTGTACAGTGCACGCTCATGGGGTTCGCGGTTTCGAGCCGCAAAGTCACCGGCTCAACGGTTCGATTCTTCGCACCGATAGCCCGAACGGACTGTCTAAGAGTGTCCGTTAACAATGAGTCATTGTTACAGCTCGGCTCTGACGTGTGCCCGCATCACAGCCCACGTTACACCGTTGTATTTGAGCACGCATTTTAAGAGAATTAAAAAAAACCCTAATATTTATAAGGAACGAAACGGGAGGATTTCTTCACAAATCTGGCTGTCGCCTGATGAAGCTGGTTGTAATTACTGGCGAAACGTCGTACTCAGATTGTAAATGTTGTGGCTTGGCTCTCCAACACACCGGTGTGCTGTACTAGTGCTTCACCTGGGTTCGATTCCCAACTAAGGCACCGTTCTAGATTGGGGTGTGTTTGTTCTCCCACTGTTTTGCATGGGTTGATTTCTCAGGGTTTTCAGGTTTCCTTCTCTATGTGTGAAAAAAATCACACGTACAATGTAACTGGTACTGGTGAAAGATCTTAACGTACAATGTAACCGGTACTGATCAAAGATCTTAACGTACAATGTAACCGGTACTGGTGAAAGATCTTAACGTACAATGTAACTGGTACTAGTGAAAGATCTTAACGTACAATGTAACTGGTACTGATCAAAGATCTTAACGTACAATGTAACTGGTACTGGTGAAAGATCTTAACGTACAATGTAACCGGTACTGGTGAAAGATCTTAACGTACAATGTAACTGGTACTGGTCAAAGATCTTAACGTACAATGTAACTGGTACTGGTCAAAGATCTTAACGTACAATGTAACCGGTACTGATCAAAGATCTTAACGTACAATGTAACCGGTACTGGTCAAAGATCTTAACGTACAATGTAACCGGTACTGGTGAAAGATCTTAACGTACAATGTAACCGGTACTGGTGAAAGATCTTAACGTACAATGTAACTGGTACTGGTCAAAGATCTTAACGTACAATGTAACCGGTACTGGTGAAAGATCTTAACGTACAATGTAACTGGTACTGATCAAAGATCTTAACGTACAATGTAACTGGTTCTAGTGAAAGATCTTAACGTACAATTTAACTGGTACTAGTGAAAGATCTTAACGTACAATGTAACCGGTACTGATCAAAGATCTTAACGTACAATGTAACCGGTACTGATCAAACATCTTAACGTACAATGTAACCGGTACTGGTGAAAGATCTTAACGTACAATGTAACTGGTACTGGTGAAAGATCTTAACGTACAATGTAACCGGTACTGGTGAAAGATCTTAACGTACAATGTAACTGGTACTGATCAAAGATCTTAACGTACAATGTAACTGGTACTAGTGAAAGATCTTAACGTACAATCTAACCGGTACTGATCAAAGATCTTAACGTACAATGTAACCGGTACTAGTGAAAAATCTTAACGTACAATGTAACTGGTACTGGTGAAAGATCTTAACGTACAATGTAACCGGTACTGGTCAAAGATCTTAACGTACAATGTAACTGGTACTGGTGAAAGATCTTAACGTACAATGTAACCGGTACTGATCAAAGATCTTAACGTACAATGTAACTGGTACTAGTGAAAGATCTTAACGTACAATGTAACTGGTACTGATCAAAGATCTTAACGTACAATGTAACTGGTACTAGTGAAAGATCTTAACGTACAAGTGAAAGATCTTAACGTACAATCTAACCGGTACTGATCAAAGATCTTAACGTACAATGTAACCGGTACTAGTGAAAGATCTTAACGTACAATGTAACCGGTACTGGTGAAAGATCTTAACGTACAATGTAACCGGTACTGGTCAAAGATCTTAACGTACAATGTAACCGGTACTGGTGAAAGATCTTAACGTACAATGTAACTGGTACTGGTGAAAGATCTTAACGTACAATGTAACTGGTACTGATCAAAGATCTTAACGTACAATGTAACCGGTACTGGTGAAAGATCTTAACGTTGAAGAACTACCTGCAAATGACTCAATTAGGATTACACAGCAGCAGCATCACCACCCTCACCCCTCCCCTACTGTGAAGAGCGTGGCAGGATCCTCCTGGAAAGCAGTCTTGAGACTCGGTTGAGGCTTCCCGCAGGCAAGCAAGCGGAGCAATAACAACATCATCATGTGATGCATTCAAATGGCAGCCGCAAAATCGTGCAATTTAAACTTCTTAACACGTGGGTCTTCACAGCCTATGTAACAATTCAGAATTGAGTTTATTCTTAGGCCACGTGACGATCTGCGCAGTTTGTGTGGTGAAACCCTGCTCATTCTGACTTCCTGGAGCAGGACCTGAAGATCGCTGGCACAGTTTCGCATTTCTAATTTGCTGCTAACTCTGGTTGTGACATTTATCCTCAATATTTACCGCCGAGTTCAAACAATGACAACTGATGCACTGCGATGCTTGCACACCGAGCGACAATTTAATATGTTTGGCTATGTCGGGTGGTGGAGGATCTCACGACATCTACTTTGACAAGATCATTACCGTGGCCAAACCCAAACCATTCATTGAATGAATGAGACCATCACACACACACACATTTTTCAATCTCCCCACTGGCTCCCCAACCCAATCCCATATCCATTTCAAGATCGCACTCGCCATCTTCAATATTGTTTTGTTTGTGTTTAGTTGGTTGTCCTTTCCCCGCACCTCTAATTGCCACGGTTGACTACGTACGGCGCGAAAGAAGTTCAACAAACATACATTCCTTCTCTCTCCATGGACTTGCCTGTGTGCCTGCATCTCAACTCACCCTCCACGAACTCTTTGCCCCAGCAAGCAAGCAAGCCCTGTGCTGAAGCCGCAAGTGAGCGGCCCTCAGTGGGAGGTCGCTTATTCTCCTCCGCTGCCCCCACGGTGCGAAACTGCCTTCCCACAGCCATCCGTGCTGTCGACTCCCTTCCCTCTGTGCAAGTCGAGGCTCAAAGGCCTCGCCCTGCTCCTGTGCCCATGACTGAGGACGACTGCCTCTTTCTCGCGATGACATCAATGTGGCCGTCGTATCCGTAAGGCGTCGTGAGATGCAGGCGCATGGAGCTGCGCTGTACATGCACACTGCTATTGCAACACAAAGTTCGCCGTACTTATACAGGCAGGTGAACAACACGACAGTAGTGCGCATGCTCTAATGGGCTCTCCTGCATACGTTGTGGAAATTCAACACTTAAAGTTGACCGAGTTGTTCTCGACTCCACGTAGGTATTGACAAATGCGATAATGCGGGAAATGTATTTATCCGGAAAGAGACTCGCATAGTCTAAAATACACAAATCCAGAAGGGTTCATGCATTGGGGATGTTTGGACTCTTCCATGAACGATTCTAAAATGCAAAGCGCGAGGAAACCGGAGTGCCCGGAGAAACTACATACTTACGAGAGTGTAACAATCAAAGTTGCGCACACACATGTACCAATCCACAATGGCCATTGTGGTGAAGTATGGTCATACAACCTTTGTGATCAACGTGGCATGGAGAGGCCTACATCCAAGAGTCCATTGTAAAAGGATTGTAAATCATCTGTCATTGTTTTAAATGTTACACGAGAAAGACATGAGTATTCGTACAAGTGGATTCATATCCCAAGCCTGGCACGTGCTTGTCAACTCAGGACCGATTTAGGAATCGCTCGCCGTGGCCGGGAATCGAGCTCGGGTCGCCAGATAATCACTGCACCACCACTTTTACATGTTCCATTCGTTACAGTCTCATTGCATTCCGATGGTCGGTGCTCTGGGGGAGGGGGGAGGGGCTGGAACCACGGGCACGTGGCCCATGGTTTCATGGCACAACAAAATCCGATAAATATTCAAAATAGTGCGGACGTGACCCTAGAGGAGGGAGCCGCGTGCGATGCAAATAACCCGGCACCCCCACGCCCCCCCCCCCGCCCGACTCGCACAATCGCCAACTTCCTCGTGGCCAGGGGAAATATTTAAGGTTGACATTTTGGACATAAATGCTCATTTAGTGCACTGATAATAGATATCTGTGATCGATTCCTTTTACACGGTTTAGCCATTTGCTTGTGCAGGGAAATTGAGGTTGCAGGTCCATAAGGCGCACAGCCGTTTCAATACGGGCACCAAAACAACACGCTTGCGTTTGTGTTTCTCAATTGTGATGGGACTTTGTAGGATGAACGTTGAGATTTCTAAGGGCACGGGGTAACCCAATAAGGTCTGAGTTGGTCTGTAATAAGGCAGGGTACTGATAAGAGGTTGACAGCTATGGATCTGTGATTCTTAAAATAAATTTTTGCTCCGTTTTTTACGGTTCGGTCATTTTATTTCTGCGCAAACAGTGAATATCCGCACTAATTTTGTTTCTCCAGGGGCTCCGGCTGCTTGGGTGACGTCCACAGTTATTCTATCGGGCCTGGGTGGATAAATAATGTCAAAGAAAGTGACAGACATGCTGAAGTCTCTAAAGCCACCGGGGGAAAGAGAACGCCAAGTGATTGTATCGTAAAGAAAACACAGCTCAAAGGACAACAATGAGATCAGCTTCGGCGCGCAGGTGTTTGACGGATGCTCTTTATCGACCGCGAGATGGCAATGGCACGGGAAAGCCTTCCAGCAGTCAATTATTCATGGCTGATGATGACGACGATGATATCTGCTGTGTAAGAGGATGTGAGAGAATAAAAAAAACAATCCTTTTTGCCATTTTGTAAACCAACGAGCAATGTGGAGTTGCGCGCGGTGGAAGGGTGGATAATAGAGAGAGCGTATTGTGGATAATAGAGAGAGCGTATTGTGGATAATAGAGAGAGCGTATTGTGGATAATAGAGAGAGCGTATTGTGGATAACAGGGGAGAGTATTGTGGATAATAGGGGAGAGTATTGTGGATAATAAAGAGAGCGTATTGTGGATAATAGGGGAGAGAATTGTGGATAATAGGGGAGAGTATTGTGGATAATAGGGAGAGTATTGTGGATAATAGGGGAGAGTATTGTGGATAATAGGGGAGAGTATTGTGGATAATAGAGAGAGCGTATTGTGGATAATAGGGGAGAGCATTGTGGATAATAGGGGAGAGTATTGTGGATAATAGGGAGAGTATTGTGGATAATAGGGGAGAGTATTGTGGATAATAGGGGAGAGTATTGTGGATAATAGGGGAGAGCATTGTGGATAATAGGGGAGAGTGTTGTGGATAATAGGGGAGAGTATTGTGGATAATAGGGGAGAGTATTGTGGATAATAGGGGAGACTATTGTGGATAATAGGGGAGAGCATTGTGGATAATAGGGGAGAGTGTTGTGGATAATAGGGGAGAGTATTGTGGATAAAAGGGAGAGTATTGTGGATAATAGGGGAGAGTATTGTGGATAATAGAGAGAGTGTATTGTGGATAATAGGGGAGAGCATTGTGGATAATAGGGGAGAGTGTTGTGGATAATAGGGGAGAGTATTGTGGATAATAGGGGAGAGTATTGTGGATAATAGGGGAGAGTATTGTGGATAATAGGGGAGAGCATTGTGGATAATAGGGGAGAGTTTTGTGGATAATAGGGGAGAGTATTGTGGATAATAGGGGAGAGTATTGTGGATAATAGGGGAGAGTATTGTGGATAATAGGAGAGAGCATTGTGGATAATAGGGGAGAGTGTTGTGGATAATAGGGGAGAGTATTGTGGATAATAGAGAGAGCGTATTGTGGATAATAGGGGAGAGCATTGTGGATAATAGGGGAGAGTATTGTGGATAAAAGGGAGAGTATTGTGGATAATAGGGGAGAGTATTGTGGATAATAGGGGAGAGTATTGTGGATAATAGGGGAGAGCATTGTGGATAATAGGGGAGAGTGTTGTGGATAATAGGGGAGAGTATTGTGGATAATAGGGGAGAGTATTGTGGATAATAGGGGAGAGCATTGTGGATAATAGGGGAGAGTGTTGTGGATAATAGGGGAGAGTATTGTGGATAATAGGGGAGAGTATTGTGGATAATAGGGAGAGTATTGTGGATAATAGGGGAGAGTATTGTGGATAATAGGGGAGAGTATTGTGGATGATAGGGGAGAGTATTGTGGATAATAGGGGAGATTATAATTTCTATGAGTGGGAGGCAGGTAGATGTGTGTGCGTGTGTGACTAAGAGAGGAAGCTGTGTGGCAATGCAGGTACAAATGTCACTGTGGAATGAGTCACACTGTGGGGGTGCAGTCCACCCACGGAGTTTACACCACGTGCGAGCCATACGCAAAATAAAAACAATGTTCAGATAAAAATTGGTATCAAAAAACCCTAAAAAGTCAACCGTACTGGGAGCACGTGTTCGCCTGGACTTCATTTGTGACTGGCGTCGTCCCTTGAACGTTTGTGTCGTGTCAGATCTGCCGTGATGTTTGTGTCGTGTCAGATCTGCCGTGATGTTTGTGTTGTGTCACAGCTGCCGTGATGTTTGTGTTGTGTCACAGCTGCCGTGATGTTTGTGTTGTGTCACAGCTGCCGTGATGACGCTGTCCCCCTGCTGCCTGTGTGTGATCTTGCTGCTCCTCGGCGCTGCGAGCCGTTGCCGACCCGAGCTCGGTAAGAGGAGCGTCACTGTCATCGTCACCATCGTCGTGGTCACAATCACACGGGGGTCCTCTTAGCTCTTGGGTCAGAAACGAGAACAACAAGAAGAGCATTTTGTTTCTTCAAATTCTGTACAAAAAAATCGATAAGCCGCAATGCGTTTGAATTCGAAACGGTGGTCATTAATACGTAACGTCACGAAACAGGATTTTAATAATCCGCATGTGGCTTGGGAAGCCGCAGGTTGCTGACCCTTCCCATGGTGAACCGGACTTCCATGGTGAACCGGACTTCCATGGTCAGGGGTCGGCAACCAAAATAACAAGAAGAGACAATGATTTTCCTTTAAGAGCCTCACGCGGCTCCGGAGACCTCCTCCTGCCTTAGCTACTTGTCCCATAATCATCAACCTCAGTTAATTGAGATGACTAGTACTAGTGGCTGGCTGGTCTGGGTTAGAGTCATTGAGATGACTAGTACTAGTGGCTGACTGGTCTGGGTTAGAGTCATTGAGATGACTAGTACTAGTGGCTGGCTGGTCTGGGTTAGAGTCATTGAGATGACTAGTACTAGTGGCTGGCTGGTCTGGGTTAGAGTAATTGAGATGACTAGTACTAGTGGCTGGCTGGTCTGGGTTAGAGTCATTGAGATGACTAGTACTAATGACTGGCTGGTCTGGGTTAGAGTAATTGAGATGACTAGTACTAGTGGCTGGCTGGTCTGGGTTAGAGTAATTGAGATGACTAGTACTAGTGGCTGGCTGGTCTGGGTTAGAGTCATTGAGATGACTAGTACTAGTGACTGACTGGTCTGGGTTAGAATCATTGAGATGACTAGTACTAGTGACTGGCTGGTCTGGGTTAGAGTCATTGAGATGACTAGTACTAGTGACTGACTGGTCTGGGTTAGAATCATTGAGATGACTAGTACTAGTGGCTGGCTGGTCTGGGTTAGAGTCATTGAGATGACTAGTACTAGTGGCTGGCTGGTCTGGGTTAGAGTCATTGAGGTGACTAGTACTAGTGACTGGCTGGTCTGGGTTAGAGTAATTGAGATAACTAGAACTAGTAGCTGGCTGGTCTGGGTTAGAGTCATTGAGATGACTAGTGCTAGTGACTGGCTGGTCTGGGTTAGAGTCATTGAGATGACTAGTACTAGTGGCTGACTGGTCTGGGTTAGAGTCATTGAGATGACTAGTACTAGTGGCTGACTGGTCTGGGATAGAGTAATTAAGATGACTAGTACTAGTGGCTGGCTGGTCTGGGCTAGAGTAATTGAGATGACTAGTACTAGTGGTTGGTCTGGGTTAGAGTCATTGAGATGACTAGTACTAGTGGCTGGCTGCTCCTCTCATTGTTATCGCTCAGACTTGAAGCCACCGACCCAGGTTCGTCTCGAAGCCTACGTGGAGGGCATCAGGCTGCCCGTGCGATGGAAACCCGTGCCTCTGCAAGAGAAGCCCGCCCACAGTCTGCTCTACCAACTCCGCCTGTGCTTGCCTGCTAACAAGGACGCGAGGTCTCAGTGTGAGGTTGGTAGGCCTGGAGAACCGGGAAAATAGACAGCATGGGTTTGGGGACCCTGTCGTTCCCAAGGGCCCAATCTCTCTCTCTCTCTACGGGCCGTGTAACTTTGTCAACGATATGAGCGATCCGCGCCTTTATTCAATTTAGCACTGTCCATGAGACTTACTCAAGAACTTTGCATTAGATTATCCTCCCAGTTGCATCCAAGTGTTCGAATTGCTTCTGGTGTAACTTACACCGCTCTTTGCCAGCTTCTTCTTGTGCCGATTTTCCAAGTCGAAGCACATTCGTACGTCATCTGTTTTTTTCTAAATAGAGTTAGAACGAAACTGATATCACAGAACGATTTATGAGATCAAGTGATACCGCTAAACAAACTACGTGTGTCAACGTTCAGTCATCGAGCTGGCGAAACATCGCAATATAGGCCACAGAGATTGGGCAATTGTTGGTGCCGATTCTGGCTGCCTTCCCCGCTTGTCTGTGGTTTCCCGCGCCTCTGAAAAAAATAAAACTGCGTGCGTTACAAATTGCACAGTGTCTCGAGGTGCAATTTGCACGATTGTCGCCGATATATTTGTATTTTATTATTATTATGAATTCAACTTGTGTGCAGGAGCGAGATGGACTGCTCCTGTGTTTGCGAGAGCGGGAGAGACACCGACCGCTTAGATCATGGCCGACGACAAGGATCTTGCGCGTCTGTCCGTCGTCTGTGCGCGCGCGACGCTCCGCAGGGATCTTGTGTCTGCCAGCAGAAGAAGAAGGGGAGAAAAGTGTTGGGCAGGCCGGACCAGGAGGTGACCGTGTCCGTGCGTTCCGTGGCCTACGACGACGAGGGCACGTGCCCTTGCCCATCGCTGGACAGCGCGAGCAACGCCAGCGCGTGGACAAAACCGCTCGCCAAGCCTCCAGTCGGTAGGACCCACCAGCGCAAACGCAAATCTCACTCGGGAATTGGCTCGGCTTGAAGTTACACCGGTGTGTCCGTAAAGGTACGGTCCGTCGGTGGTAATACACCTAAACCTCATACAGACAGTTCCCGCTTAGCGCTCAAGATGCGTTCCTGGGGAAGTGAGCGCGAATCAAATTGACGCTAAACGAGGTCGTGATACAGTCATGTGTAGTACTCCAATCCCCTGCCAAATCTGCAGCTCGGCGAAGGCTCCTGCGTCTCGTGCCGTGAGTCTGTTGCCGTGACCTCTGCCACGTGGTACGGATAGCCGTTCATTGAGATGTGTGTGTGTGTTGTTGTAAATTCACGATGTGCCTAAGTATTATGTTAGACATCTTTCGCACTGTACGTAGCCAACCGTGCTAATCGGGGGTGCGGGGGAAGGACAACAAACTAAACACTAAAAGAAGTTGGTGGTGGCTTAACGGCACATTTATATTTACGAAATCTAACCCCAAAAAACTTGTTTTATGAATATTGGTCGCAAAAGCCTACTACGTGTTAAACTTGCCCCAACAGTCTGTTCGAGGCTACACGGGGGATCTGTGTGTGTGTGTGTGTGCAGGCGAGCCCGGCACGGCGGCCCGTGACGTCTCGTGTGTCTACCGTGACATGGAGGCGTTGGAGTGCCGCTGGAGTCCCGGGGAGAAAGCTCCCCCGGGCACCAACTACTCCCTCTACTACGCCGTGTGAGTTTCCGGCACGCTGGCAACGGCTCGTGGTCTCAGGGTAACCAGAAGCGGATTTAGGAACTTCTCAAGTGGGAAGTGGGGTGGGAGAGGCAGTCCCAAAATGCCAGATTTTCATAAATAGGGCCCGACGTTCCTTGAAAAAAAGAATCAACGTATTTTCCCCGCGGTAAATCTGAATAGACACACACATTACCGGGCCTTAAAGGGGAAGGGTGGTGCTGGTGGTGGGGGCTGTTAATGCTGCACCATCCACCCTCTTGCCTCCGCCACTGAATGCTGAGCGCGCCAGACTCGCAATCCAGAGGTCGCCGGTTCGATTCCAGTTCCCGGCGCTGCGGTTCAAGCGGTCGTCAAAGAGGTCCGCCCCCTCCGCTGCCTCTGTCCACTCAGCAGCATGAATGGGCACAGCGCCATCGACCGACAGGCTGCGTGCACTGGGGGTAACGCAACACCTCCTCCAAGACGTCCAGGCCGGCGTGGAAGAGTCGGGCGAGTGCCCTCCGGTGGAGGTCATTCCGCCGGGAGTGGCGTTAACAATTTGCAAGCCTGCACCTCGTGCCGTCGGGTCCCCATGCGCTTGGGTGATGGTGAAGTCGCAACGACGACGACGACGAGGACGCAATAGCTCCGAAGACGTAATGACTGCCATTTAATTACAGGTACTTGGATGAGCCCCTCCTCTGGACGAGGTGTGGGGACGACGAGAGGATGTTGCCGGGCACGAGTTGCGTCAGCAGGAGGATCGTGGACTTGAACAGAGACGCCAACAGCTTCGCGATCCTCGTTAACGGCACTCTGCCCAGCGGAGAGCCGGCTCGGCCCAGCCTGCTCGACATCACTCCTTTGGAAACAAGTACGCTCGCAGCGATACCACGCATCATCATCATCAATCAGCCATGATCCATCCACTGCTGGATGAACCCGTGCTGCGTGCGACCCCCAACTGAGCCACTTGACCCCGTGCTGCGTGTGACCCCCAACTGAGCCACGTGACCCCGTGCTGCGTGTGACCCCCAACTGAGCCACGTGACCCCGTGCTGCGTGCGACCCCCAACTGAGCCACTTGACCCCGTGCTGCGTGTGACCCCAACTGAGCCACGTGACCCCGTGCTGCGTGCGACCCCAACTGAGCCACGTGACCCCGTGCTGCGTGTGACCCCCAACTGAGCCACGTGACCCCGTGCTGCGTGCGACCCCAACTGAGCCACGTGACCCCGTGCTGCGTGCGACCTCAACTGAGCCACGTGACCCCGTGCTGCGTGTGACCCCCAACTGAGCCACGTGACCCCGTGCTGCGTGTGACCCCCAACTGAGCCACGTGACCCCGTGCTGCGTGTGACCCCCAACTGAGCCACGTGACCCCGTGCTGTGTGCGACCCCCAACTGAGCCACGTGACCCCGTGCTGCGTGCGACCCCCAACTGAGCCACGTGACCCCGTGCTGCGTGCGACCCCCAACTGAGCCACGTGACCCCGAGCGACCGTCTGTGCCCCCCCCCTTCCCCGTAGTCTCGCCGAGTGCTCCACAGGGGCTCCGTGCCTCCGTGCTCAACCTGTCCAACATGGTGTTCGTCTGGGACCCTCCCAACAACACGCGCTTGCTGAGCTTCATCAAGTACCATGCGCGCCTCGTCATCCCCCGCGCGGGAGCAGAGGTGCGCGGTGCCGTCACGAGTTCAGATGCTCGCGCCTCACAGCACAGGAGGGGCTGGGTTCGATTCCCGACACGGGCGCTCTTCCTGTGCACGTTCTCTGCCCCGCTGTGCAGGGTGGGAGTGGGTGCGGGAGTGAGTGAGTGGAAGCGCGAATGAGCCAGTGCGTGAGCGAGTGAACGTGCGAGTGAGTGCAGGTGGTATGTTCTCCCCCTGTTCTATCGTGTGAGTGTGTGAGCGAGTGTGGAGTTAGAATGTTCTCTCGGTGTTCCCCGCGAGTATGTGAGAATGTGAGGGAGTGAGTGGAGTGTATATGTTCTCCCCGTGATCTGCATGGGGTTCTCCAGTTTACTCTCATAGCAAGCAAAACATAAAATGTAACTGGAATGAGCCAAAACAACATTCCAGTGCTGAAAAATGACACTGAACATAACCCACTTTGCATTACACATAGCAGCAACATTGCCACCCCCACACTGCAAAAACTTGGCAGGACCCTTCTTGAAATAGCCTTGATACTGCGATATTTTTCTTTGTAAACAAGAGAAACAGTAACAGTATTTGTCATCCATCGGTTACGGTTGCCACATTGTCCACAGAACAAACCGGGACATTTCTCAGCCGGCGTAGGTCTATCAAGCCGGTGCGGCGCTATCCCTGCGTGTTCATCACCGCCCGACCGTCGCTGGAAAATAACGCCGCCGCCGCTGCTGCTGCTGTTGCTGCTGTTCACTTGTGACGCTCACAGCCCCAGGTGCTGGCTGACACCTTGATAGAGAAGAGGACCACGCTGGACCTGGTCGTGGACCCAGGGCTTCCCTACCGCGTGTCCGTCCGTGCCATCCCCATCTACTTCAAGAACTTGAGCAGTCCTTGGTCGCACTTGGATTACTCGCGTGAGGCAATCGTACACACGAGCACCTGTGTGTCCGTACACCTGCAGAGTCGCACACCTGTCTACCTGCGTGTCCATCGTCGTCGGCAGTCCTTCGGGGTTCGAGGATAACATCCATCAGATTTATCGGTGGCTTTTGAGGTGGCTGAGAAGTCCAACTGTGGCTCCGCAGATCTTTGGGCACTGGGGGTGCCACGCCGTCCCAGGTGGAAATGGAATCCGCAGTGACGGGTTGGTTTCCTTTCCCTCTCTCTTTTGGGCGGTGATCCGCTTCGGCATCGCGACGCCGGGTCTCCACGTGGGCCCCGGGCCCGGTGGATGCTGCGGTGCCACCCCTAGGCGGTCGGCAGCCTGCTGCTGCTCCTCCTCCTCCCGGTGTTGGAGGATGATTTTTGCGCGCATCAGCGAGGACTCGAGGGTATCCTTGAACCGCTTCCTTTGTCCCTCCCCTCGTCCGCTGGGAGAAAAGGATCTGGCGGGGAAGGGGGTTCTCAGACTTGCTGATGCAGTGGCCGGTCCATCGGAGTTGTTTTTTTTTAAAGTACCGCTTCAATGCTGGCGGTGTCAGCTTGCAGGAGGACACTCGCATCGTTGCAGCGATCTTCCCACGCGATCCCCTGGATTTGACGGAGGCGGCGCCGATGGAAGCGCTCGAGCGTAGTGACGTGGCGCCAGTAGGCAGTCCACGTTTCGCTGCAGAAGAGGACCATTGGGATGATAACTGCCTGGTAAACTAGGAGCTTTGTCGTCCTGCGGAGATATTTTTTCGTCGAAGACGGCGCTGGCGCAGTCTATAGAGGGCGGCGCTGCACACTGGACTCTGTGTTGAATCTCCTCATCGACAGTGGCCGTTTGGGAGAGATGACTCCCGAGGAAAGGGAAATTCTTCACGTGTTCAAGGGTAATTCTCTACGTGTTCAAGGGTAATTGTCCACGTGTTCAAGGGTAATTCTCCACGTGATCAAGGGTAATTCTCCACGTGTTCAAGGGTAATACTCCACGTGTTCAAGGGTAATACTCCACGTGTTCAAGGGCAATTCTCCACGTGTTCAAGGGTAATACTCCACGTGTTCAAGGGTAATTCTCCACGTGTTCAAGGGTAATACTCCACGTGTTCAAGGGTAATACTCCACGTGTTCAAGTGTAATTATCCACGTGTTCAAGGGTAATTCTCCACGTGTTCAAGGGTAATACTCCACATGTTCAAGGGAAATACTCCACGTGTTCAAGGGTAATTGTCCACGTGTTCAAGGGTAATTCTTCACGTGTTCAAGGGTAATTCTCCACGTGTTCAAGGGTAATACTCCACGTGTTCAAGGGTAATACTCCACGTATTCAAGGGTAATTCTCCACGTGTTCAATGGTAATTCTCCACGTGTTCAACGGTAATACTCCACGTGTTCAAGGGCCTCTCCATCGACGTAGATAGTCGGGGGGATGTTCAGCTGGCTGGATGGCGGTTGGTGGAGGACCTTGGTTTTGGTGCTGCTCAAGGTTAAGCCAAGTCTCTCGTACGCAGAGTGCAACACGCCGAGGGTCACCTGGATGTCCTGTGCAGAGCGACCACAATGCAATCTGCAGGCCGTGGATGCCCTTTGCGGTCACCTTCTTCTCCTTCTTCTTCTTTGCCCGACAACGTCCGAGGTTGAAGAGCTTCCCGACCAGGTGGAACTGGATGCTGATGCCAGATGGAAGGCGACCGTGGATGAGGAGGGTGACCACGACCGTATAGATGGTGAATAAGGTGGGGGAGGCGGGGCGATCATACGACCCTGTCTGACACCCATTCGGACTTGAAAGGCATCCGTTTCAGATCCCCTACTCAGCACGGTGGTGGTCGTGTCACTGTGCAGGAGCTGCAGGATGGCGACAAACTTCTGCGGACATCCAAGACGTTTTAGGACACTCCAAAGAGCTCCCCGGTTGAGGGAGCCAAATGCCTTGGTTAGGTCGATGAATGTGAAGAACAATTCTTGATGCCGCTCTCGACACTTTACTTGATTCTGTCGGGCAGCCAAGACCACATTTCCTGTGCCCCGTGATGGTGGTAATCCGCACTGCGTCTCTGGCAGTACCTGCTCAGCAACAGGGCTCAGACTATTGAGCAAGATGTGGCCAGCATATTTCCTGCTATGGACAAGAGGGAGATCCCCCCCTGTCGTTTCAACAGCAAGACTCGTCCCTCTTCTTGAAGATTGTTACTATGTGTGTCCACATACCTGTACAATTACACATCTATCTACCTGTGTGTCCATACACCTGTACAATAACACACCCAGCTCCTTGCGTGCCGTTCTGGCCTTAATAGGTGCTCGCTAACAGCAATTGCCCCAAGAGTCTGTTAAAGGATATGCGGGGGTTCTTTGTCTTTATTTTCATAGGTCAGTGACGCTGGCCACACGATCCCCTCGTGTCACGTGTTGGGCCTCCATTTGTGCTCACTGGCAGCACTTGTCCCAACGGTCTGTTGAGGCTGTATGGGTGACCTGTGTCTTTGTCTTTGTTGTGTGTAGCCAAGTCCCCGGACCCAGGACCCCCAGTGTCTGGGCCGCCCATGGCTCCGCTCGTCATCGCGTTCGGCGCGGTTCTTGCCGTCATCACCGCCATCTCCTTCCTCGTGTGGCGCTGGCCCCGGTAACAAAACCACCGTCATCGTTGTCACCGTCACCGACATCTTAATTACCGCCGCCGTTGTCATCACGATCATCGTGGTGCCGCAGGCCGCTGCTGCGCGCACCTTGTGCCGCACAGGGACAGCTGCCACTGGGGTCCCCGTGGATAGAATTCCGCACAGCAATGGAATGGATGAGATGGGATGCAACAAGGCGCTTTCAGTTGCTGAGGCATTTAAGGAAGCGCCAGTGCACACAGAGATCCTTCAATCCTCACGAGGATTTTGATTTGAAGCTTTCGTGACTGCAGGAATCCTTACGAGGATTATCAATTTAAAATAAGAATGTGCTTTATCCAGCAAAGCCTCGCCAAGTCCCGAGACGGTTTCCCATGCGGGTTCTGCATTGTGATGTTTGTCCAATTGTTTTTGTATTGAGTTTGTTTTTCAATTGTGGGAGGAAACTGGAAGTAGCCGAAGAAAATCCGCCATGCGTACATGGGGATAAAACTCAAACGGTCGGCACAGATCGGTCAGGAACCCACTTGCTGTACTGCTGTCTCCGATACACCTTGCAATCTCGTGGATGTAGGTGTTCCACAGCACACAATGATCCTGCATGATCCATTAATCCCACTTTAAAAGCAATGGGTCACAGGCCTTCATCGTCACCGTCTTCTTTACCCTTGGCTCATCTTTGCTTATGTTTGAGTAAAGTTTGCGTGTGTCACGGTGTGAAAATGTTGTATTGTAAGATGGACAGTTCACTTCAGAGGTGTGACCTAACATCTCTGAAGACCTGGATTTGAATCCGGGCACCCACCTTTGATTAAACTGGCCACTTGTGTGCTGTGAGTTGATGGTCTCAACCCGGTGACCATTGACAGCCCGAACAAAAATAATCACGTAAAAAATGGTAATGCACTTAATTTGGCATCATTTTACATCTGAGAATTTAAAATATCAACAGAGTTTGACTCAGGCGACCGACATACCTCTCGCTGGCATGGCGAGTGGGGAAATTCTGCTTCGTACTTTGTCGGCCAGGGCTCACTTGAAGAGATCTCAGAAGTAGTTCTGCCATGCCCGTTCCTGCGGGCCATCCTCTAACACGAGCAGTGGCACTGCGACAAAGAGTCGAATGGACACTCCTGACGTGACCACCACCAGCAGCACAGACGGGATAGAATAGTGGGAGGGGAAATAACAACGGAATAATAGATTTAAAAAAATCGACAGTTCACATTTAACCACAATTTATAAAAAGCCGCATATCTGTAAAAGGAAACAAACTTGAAGCTCTGTGGCAGGAAATGAACTTCCTTTTATTATAAAAGCCATTTCTTGTATTTGTGTTCAAGTAAATTTACATCGCGCCAAGCGTGAAGGGAAGCGGACACCACAAGCGATGCAGCGCGAGTCTCGGTACAACCCTGTGACGGCACAACCCTGTGACGTCACCACCCTATGACGTCACCTCCATGTGCCGTCACCTCCCTGTGACGTCACCACACTGTGCCGTCACCTCCCTGTGCCGTCACCACCCTGTGCCGTCACCACCCTGTGACGTCTCCTCCCTGTGACGTCACCTCCCTGTGCCGTCACCACCCTGTGACGTCACCTTCCACCGCCCACTTTTCACCTATCCCATCGGGCCTCCAGATTGAACCCTGTAGCAGTGGTGTATTATTATTTTATTGTTATGATGATTACTATATTGTTATGATGATTATTATTTTATTGTTATGATGATGATTATTATATTCTTATTATTATTACACTTATATTCTTGGTTCAACGTGATTTTACCGAAAGAACCAAGAATATGAATCACTGCAGTCACGAAAGCTTTAAATCAAAATTATTACACTTGTTCAATTAGCCTGGCACAGTCAGTCACGACTGACCGTTGTGCTGCATGTTTACGCGTGTGCGTGTCTGTGTCTTTCAGCATGAAGGTTCAAGTGTGGCCGGATATACCAGATCCTGCTGGACCATTAGATGCTTTTCTCAAGAGAAACATTGATCCCGTTAAGGTGCGCGATGCAATTCCCTTCATGTGCCCTTCATAATTTAAACTTGCAACGCGCCGCCACCGCTGCACCGAGATCGCTCGCTCGCTCGTACAGAGAGGACGACTCAGAGGCGCGCGGAGGAATCGCAGCCACGCGGTGGAGCCAGTACCAACAATTGCCCAACTTCTGCGGTCCTATATATATTAAGCTGTTATTGGCCGATTATTTAGATTCTTGCTTTAAGGCACGACGTTCCGCAGCTGAATGTCAATGCCGAGGTTTGCCACTGCTGGCCACGACGAGAGGGCTTCAAGAGAGAGTTTGTGTCGTGTGTCTGTTCCTCCTTCTCCACTGAAGGAGCGCAGACTGCAGTGGGGTTGACTATATGGTTGACTATATGGTTGACTTTATGGTTGACTATATGGTTGACGTTATGGTTGACTATATGGTTGACTTTATGGTTGACTATATGGTTGACTTTATGGTTGACTATATGGTTGACGTTATGGTTGACTATATGGTTGACTATATGGTTGACTATATGGTTGACTATATGGTTAACTATATGGTTGACTATATTGTTAGCTTTATGGTTGACTACATGGTTGACTTTATGGTTGACTATATGGTTGACTATATGGTTAACTATATGGTTGACTATATGGTTGGCTTTATGGTTGACTTTATGGTTGACTATATGGTTGACTTTATGGTTGACTATATGGTTGACTATATGGCTGACTTTCATGGTCCAAGTTTGGGTTGCACGGCCACAATGGCACCACCGTGGCCCGCGTCTCTGATGTTCCATTCATGAAGGAGGTGTGCGCATCGGCCGGGCGATGCTCCGCGCTGCATTTCCCGCGTTGACGCAGATTCTCCCGTGTGCCGCTGGTGCAGGCAGCTGGCTGTGCGCCACACGTGGAGGCTCAGGACCCCTACAGCCTGGTGGAGGAGCTGGACTCTCCCCAACTGCTGCGGCCTCTCCCCGCCCTGCTGCAGCCACGAGACCCCCCTCAATAGACCAATTAGCGCAAAATATAAATATTATTTCGAAGTGTATATACGAAACGTAAAGTGAGATTTCACTTGCTTTCCACGCACAGGTGTGCCGAGGAATGTAGCATTGAGTTGTTGGCAGCAATGACTATCGCACAATACCGCCTTGAAAACTAGTATTGTGGTAATATTTCTTAAATAACTGACAAACGTGCACAGCATTTGTCAATCCACCGCTGGATGAAGGCCTCCCCATGCTGCGCCGGTCGTGGGGACTTTCCGGCCATACTTCTCCACGCTGGTTCAGTGCGGTTTGGTGAATGTAGGCGGGGCAAGGAAACGGTTCAGATGCCACTTGCCACTGATGTTAGCCGTGGCCGTGAGCTCTGCGTGTATTTGATATCGTCTAAGTAGTTTGGCGACAGGGTATGCACCGCACAGCAGAACCTCATGTGTCTGTGTGCGCGTTCAGCTGTCCTTCCCCCCGTGCGCCTCCGATTAGCACGGTTGTCTACGTACGGTGCGAAAAAAGTGCATCGGAGAAAGGCCTTGCAAGGCGAGCAGCGAAACACAACGACAGGCCCTGCACATCGTCACCGACAGCGGCACGCGCACGGTGCCCATGGAGGGGTTAGCCCAAGCTAACTGGGTGCAGTGTCCTGTCAATATTTATACGACGCCTGTTTTACCCAGGGACAGCCTCACCGAGTCGAAAGGATCTTTCTTCTCGGGAGGGTCCTGCCAAGTTTTCCCAGTAGTGACGCGGACGTTGCCTTTTGTTGTCACCCTTAAACGGGCCCTGTGAAGCACTGGGATGTGTGGTGTGGCCAATGTGAACCTGGAGGCGAAATGAACAGGCGGTGAGCATACAAACTCCACCCGAGTCGGGAATCGAGCCGAGAAGCATCTTGCCGTGAGGTGCGACTGTGTTAATCACTGCGCCACTGTACCACCCCCCACCAGTTTAAAAAAACACAAAAAGTTCCACAGCGAAGACTCAAAAGGGCTCCTGACGTTTTATATATATTTTACATTTTTTGCTGACCACGTGTCGGAAATGTGCCACAATAGGTGGGCATCATGGCAATCACAGATTACAAAGCACCTCCCCTGGCTATCAGGCCAGCCAGGCATGCTCGGAATTAATTTACATAACATGCAGCAGGTTATAGAGCGTAGTAAAATGAAGCAATGTACAACAATGACTTTCCTGTTTTCACTTGAAAAATAACGTATCCCCATGTTTGCGATCTATTCCTGTAGTCAGGTTCCTCCACTTTTCCCCTGGAATGTACGTCACGAGATACCAAGTACTGCACAAAGCGAACTGATGCATGCACGCAGGCGACAAAACGAGACTTAAAAGGCTTAAGCAATGCGAACGAGATGTCAAAAAATAAGACGCGTTAATACCATACACTGTAGTGCCTGAATAGTGGCTCTTTATATGCCTGCTCCGTGTATCCTTGTGAGACGTTTTCTTTATCATTACAGCACTTACATTTTGAAAATGACATATAACTTTAAATATGTATTTATAAAATGGGGACATGGTTTCAGCAACGTGGGTCCAAGCAAGGCAAGCACACGGATCATGGTGACGCACAGGGGCTGTTATTTCAACAGTAAACATGATTTCGATTTAAAGCTTTCGTGACTGCAAGGATTCATCTTCTTTGGTTCTTTCGGTAAAGTCACGTAGAATGAGAATAAAATAATAAATTGATAAAATAAAATAACACAATAAAATTCTCACGACGTTTCGGCCACAACACAAGCGGCCTTCATCAGGTGAAGGGACGAGACTGTCTGGACAGATCTTAAACTGTCTGGACAGTCTGGACAGTCTCGTCCCTTCACCTGATGAAGGCCGCTTGTGTTGTGGCCGAAACGTCGTGAGAATATTATTGTGTTATTTTATATTATCAATTTATTATTTTATTCTCATTCTACGTGGTGACTTTACCGAAAGAACCAAAGAAGAGTAAACATGATATTGTATCATGATGATGAGTTTTGGATGTTGCTGGGCCCGCAGTGCTGTACACAATCACAAACAACAACAACAACTCGTCACCAGCACCGCTTCAACGATAGGTGACGCGGCGGACAACGGCCCTTCCCGTGCTGTGTGCAGAAGGGCCGTTGCCTGAAACGTCGCCTATTATCTCCGAGTTGCTGCTGAGGGCTTTGTGGGCCTGCGGGCTACAATTGTAACCAGGGAAGCCAAACGTAAGGTGAGGAGGCTTCATAGGTTAGAATTAGTCAAATGTAAGCATGAAATTAATAGACAGTAACATTAAGTAATACATTGTTTCTCTCTCAAAAACAACGTTAAAACCATTATTAATGCTAGAACATGCGGCAAAACAGTCCCCGAGTACTATTAAATTGATAGACCAAGTGTGTGAAGTGTACAGTACTGGATATGACAATTTTACCAAAATTGACGCAAAGCTGTTTTTTGTTAAATAAATATAAATGTTTAAAATTATCTTCTTGCATTTTCTTCTTCCTACCTCTGCTTAAGTGAAACTCAGGGACTTTCTACGACTACGTTGCACGATAGAAACGTCGACTGTTCAAATGTCTTCAGTCGCGTTTGGAATTGGGTCGCAAATGAAAATTCTGCGTCATAAATCGAGCCGTGATCGATCTTAAACAAACGTCGTAAATCGATCCGTAAATGGAGTCACGGCGGCATTGCATAGCAGTCGTAAATCGAGTACAGATGTACATCGATGTGTCGTAAATCGAGTCATCACGTCATGATATAGGCGTAAATGCGCGTCGCAAATCGGGCTTTCGTAAACCGGTCTAATGTTTTCCAAAGGTTAAATCAAATTGTGTTTTACTCACATAAAAAAATGTACTGTGCTTAATTGAATATTAATATTTCACGAATGTTATGCGCTCAAAAAAATGGCCTTGAAAATAATCCGGACGGAGTAATAATAATTAATCATACAAATGTATGAATTGTAGACAAACTCACACTTGCTCCATTGTAGCATGATGCACTTGTAAGGGCAGTGTTATTGATGCTGCTTCAAAAGTTAGTCATTAGATTTGTGTAACTTTACAGCATGTTGTCAATCAGTCTACTGCTTGATGACGGCCTTGACCATAACCCTGTCAATCATGGGAGTTGCTTCACCATACATCACCACACTCGTATGTGCGGGGTCGTTGGAATGTGAGGTGGGATGCAGCACTGATTCAGATTTGACTCGCCACTGATGTCAGCCGTGGCTAAGACTCGAACTGGGGTCGCTGAACCGCTTACACCGCCACCCACCCCCCCATGTCGGCGGTTAAAACGACCGAATTGATGTTAGTTCGAGGAAATTAATCATCGGGATAACCAAGGAACCAGATTGTTTACACTGATAACATCAAACACAGTGCGTCCTTTAGCACATTACTGTACTTCCAAAATGCCAAGAAATTGTTTGGAAACTGATTACATCTCACGTCTCGTGTATTTTTTTATCGAGCACGCGTGGGTAGCCTGTGAGCAGCGCTTGCAGAAAGGGTTCCAACAATGGCGTGGTGTGTTTATTAGACCCAACAATAGCGTGGTGTGTTTATTAGACCCAACAATAGCGTTATGTTTATTAGACCCAACAATAGCGTTATGTTTATTAGACCCAACAATGGCGTTGTGTGTTTATTAGACCCAACAATAGCGTGGTGTGTTTATTAGACCCAACAATAGCGTTATGTTTATTAGACCCAACAATAGCGTTATGTTTATTAGACCCAACAATGGCGTTGTGTGTTTATTAGACCCAACAATAGCGTTGTGTGTTTATTAGACCCAACAATAGCGTTATGTTTATTAGACCCAACAATAGCGTTATGTTTATTAGACCCAAAAATGGCGTTGTGTGTTTATTAGACCCAACAATAGCGTGGTGTGTTTATTAGACCCAACAATAACGTTATGTTTATTAGACCCAACAATAGCGTTATGTTTATTAGACCCAACAATGGCGTTGTGTGTTTATTAGACCCAACAATAGCGTTGTGTGTTTATTAGACCCAACAATGGCGTTGTGTTTATTAGACCCAACAATGGCGTTGTGTGTTTATTAGACCCAACAATGACGTTGTGTGTTTATTAGACCCAACAATGGCGTTGTGTGTTTATTAGACCCAACAATGGCGTTATGTTTATTAGACCCAACAATGACGTTGTGTGTTTATTAGACCCAACAATGGCGTTGTGTTTATTAGACCCAACAATGGCGTTGTGTGTTTATTAGACCCAACAATGACGTTGTGTGTTTATTAGACCCAACAATGGCGTTATGTTTATTAGACCCAACAATGGCGTTGTGTGTTTATTAGACCCAACAATAGCGTTGTGTGTTTATTAGACCCAACAATGGCGTTGTGTTTATTAGACCCAACAATGGCGTTGTGTGTTTATTAGACCCAACAATGACGTTGTGTTTATTAGACCCAACAATGGCGTTGTGTGTTTATTAGACCCAACAATGACGTTGTGTGTTTATTAGACCCAACAATGACGTTGTGTTTATTAGACCCAACAATGACGTTGTGTGTTTATTAGACCCAACAATGACGTTGTGTGTGTATTAGACCCAACAATGACGTTGTGTTTATTAGACCCAACAATGACGTTGTGTGTTTATTAGACCCAACAATGGCGTTGTGTGTTTATTAGACCCAACAATGACGTTGTGTTTATTAGACCCAACAATGACGTTGTGTGTTTATTAGACCCAACAATGACGTTGTGTTTATTAGACCCAACAATGACGTTGTGTTTATTAGACCCAACAATGACGTTGTGTGTTTATTAGACCCAACAATGGCGTTGTGTGCTTATTAGACCCAACAATGGCGTTGTGTGTTTATTAGACCCAACAATGGCATTGTGTGTGTTTATTAGACCCAACAATGACGTTGTGTTTATTAGACCCAACAATGGCGTTGTGTTTATTAGACCCAACAATGGCGTTATGTTTATTAGACCCAACAATGGCGTTGTGTGTTTATTAGACCCAACAATGACGTTGTGTGTTTATTAGACTCAACAATGGCGTTGTGTGTTTATTAGACCCAACAATGACGTTGTGTTTATTAGACCCAACAATGGCGTTGTGTTTATTAGACCCAACAATGACGTTGTGTGTTTATTAGACCCAACAATGGCGTTGTGTGTTTATTAGACCCAACAATGACGTGTGTTTATTAGACCCAACAATGGCGTTGTGTTTATTAGACCCAACAATGGCGTTGTGTGTTTATTAGACCCAACAATGACGTTGTGTGTTTATTAGACCCAACAATGACGTTGTTTTTATTAGACCCAACAATGACGTTGTGTTTATTAGACCCAACAATGGCGTTGTGTTTATTAGACCCAACAATGGCGTTATGTTTATTAGACTCAACAATGGCGTTGTGTTTATTAGACCCAACAATGACGTTGTGTGTTTATTAGACCCAACAATGGCGTTGTGTGTTTATTAGACACAACAATGACGTTGTGTGTTTATTAGACCCAACAATGACGTTGTGTGTTTATTAGACCCAACAATGGCGTTGTGTGTTTATTAGACCCAACAATAGCGTTGTGTTTATTAGACCCAACAATGGCGTTGTGTTTATTAGACCCAACAATGGCGTTGTGTGTTTATTAGACCCAACAATGGCGTTGTGTGTTTATTAGACCCAACAATGTCGTTGTGTGTTTATTAGACCCAACAATGGCGTTATGTTTATTAGACCCAACAATGGCGTTGTGGTTATTAGACCCAACAATGGCGTTGTGTGTTTATTAGACCCAACAATGGCGTTGTGTTTATTAGACCCAACAATGGCGTTGTGTGTTTATTAGACCCAACAATGACGTTGTGTGTTTATTAGACCCAACAATGGCGTTGTGTGTTTATTAGACCCAACAATGACGTTGTGTGTTTATTAGACCCAACAATGGCGTTGTGTTTATTAGACCCAACAATGGCGTTGTGTGTTTATTAGACCCAACAATGACGTTGTGTGTTTATTAGACCCAACAATAGCGTTGTGTGTTTATTAGACCCAACAATGGCGTTGTGTTTATTAGACCCAACAATGGCGTTGTGTTTATCAGACCCAACAATGGCGTTGTGTGTTTATTAGACCCAACAATGGCGTTGTGTGTTTATTAGACCCAACAATGGCGTTGTGTTTATTAGACCCAACAATGACGTTGTGTGTTTATTAGACCCAACAATGGCGTTGTGTTTATTAGACCCAACAATGGCGTTGTGTTTATCAGACCCAACAATGGCGTTGTGTGTTTATTAGACCCAACAATGGCGTTGTGTTTATTAGACCCAACAATGGCGTTGTGTTTATTAGACCCAACAATGGCGTTGTGTGTTTATTAGACCCAACAATGACGTTGTGTGTTTATTAGACCCAACAATGGCGTTGTGTGTTTATTAGACCCAACAATAGCGTTGTGTTTATTAGACCCAACAATGGCGTTTTGTTTATTAGACCCAACAATGGCGTTGTGTGTTTATTAGACCCAACAATGGCGTTGTGTGTTTATTAGACCCAACAATGTCGTTGTGTGTTTATTAGACCCAACAATGGCGTTATGTTTATTAGACCCAACAATGGCGTTGTGGTTATTAGACCCAACAATGGCGTTGTGTGTTTATTAGACCCAACAATGGCGTT